GGAAGATGATAAGTGCATGAACTGAGGGGTCTTGGTCTCATTCCCTGGGTGAAGAGCCAGGTCTTTAGGGCTCTTCTAAGTAGCAGTAGAATAAGGGCCATGGATGCTTTAATAATTTTTATCATATAGATGTATATCAGGGAATCTGTATTAGCACAAATCTTGACATCTATAACATAATGGTAAAATAATCATTTTTCTAAATTATAATTTGTAAAATGGCACAATTTTATATGCCCTTTGGCATTCCTTCTATGTAAAAAGAAAAACAAACATTAAGAATGACACACAAAAATCTATAACCTAGAGAAACTTTTTCTATAGAGAGAATATTCTTTCTTATTTAAGTGCTAAAAATACAGGGAAGTAGTGAGCATAATATTTTACAAAGAATACCTACATTTTGAAACCAATTTATTTTATTTTTATTTTATTAAACATTTTTGTCACTAAACTTACCACAGGGTAATTCTTCCATTGAAAACCTTTCCCTAAATTTGCTTGTCTCTTAGCATCACATTATTATTATATTGCAATTTCTATAAATCCTGAGAGAAATTGATTAACATGCATACATTGATGGTGACAAATTAACATAACATTTATCATTACTTTAATTGTAACAGCAAGAGCACTTAAGACATATACCGCTTCATGGTGCTTTACAGCTCAATTGTTATCACTAGTTAGAACAACATGTATTATGTGCATTATACTGAATAGTTGCAGAAATTTCAGAAAAAATGGATGCTAAAATATTCTCTGATATCAGACCACATGTAACTAGGTGGGTGGGGAAAACTGGGTTACTTATTGTTGAAAATTCCTGATAGCTACTTTTCCAGTTCAATATTGTGGTGATATGATATACACCACATTTATCACAAATAAATTCAAGGTATTCAAGCAAACTCCACATCAATATATACAACAAATTAGGCCAGTTAGGGAAGCTCCAAAATATGCCAGCAAATGCAAGTCTGATAGTGATGATAACATGTTGGTTCAATTGAACAACCATAAATTGCGGGTTTAAATTTGATTTCCAGCAGATAGCCCATGTTAGTCTGTTGAAGCATGTGAAAACCTCAGTGAATCTGAAAAAAGAGCCATGCAATAAAAAGTGGACTACAATTCAATATACTAGATACAAAATACATAGGAAAGAGTTGACCAGATACAAAATATATTGTATGAAGTTGTCTGTAATTCATGGAAATTCTGCCATAATAAAGTGTCTTGCTGTAATGAAATGTCTGAATAATCATCAGTTTTTTTCCAGCAGTGATTTAAAGGTTCCTATATAAGTATATTTTAAATCTGAATGTTGTAGCTTTCTCATCGTTTTGCTGTGCTAATACTGACCAGGAAGCTTTTGACAGTAAAGTCTCATTTCATTCCCCCCCCCCCCTTTCTTTCATTCCTGAGGAGAGGTACTACTTCTAAGTAGGAAAGTATCCAACTGCCCGGCAGCGCCTCCAAAAGAGGCATTTGGGGCGTTATGAACTTCTCTTTTCGGGATTCTTGGCCTCTGTGGGAGCAGTCCAGCTTGGAGTCATTTCTGCAACCGCCACTAAAATTCAGTCCCGCGGCAATTGTTTACCAGCTCCCCCTCGAAAGTCGTCACACAAAGCCCTGCTTTTCCGTGGGGCACCACATGCCGGCGACCAAGAAACCCACTTCTAGGTCCAAGGGACTTGGGAGTTTATGACCCAAGAAACCCTCCCACGTCAGTTAATGGACATTTGTATGCGCGTGTACGAGCGCCCGTTTCTTCTCAGAGCCCGAGTTCCCCCTTTCTCTTCTCTACCTGCGTCCCTGCCACCAAACTGGCCACAGGTTTAGAAAAGACCAATTTCTAGGTACGTGATCGCATTTGCGTGTATCTGCGCGTGCACGCGCCGCGGGCGGGAGACCGTGTACGGGGCCGTATGTGTGCGCCTCCGTGTGAGTGTAGTTGCGTGCGTTTTTCTCTTTGGGTGTAACAGGCGAGCTGTATGGCTGGCTAATCTGTCCTTCAGACCGCGAGCCAATGGCAGGCTCTCTTCTATAAAAATGAATGTTTTCGGTCTCTCAGGCTTACATGTACTGTATGTGAAACAGTGTGCGGTGGGCTCTGTTCAGAGCTTCTCTCTTCACTTTCACATAAAGAAACACTGAGTGATCACTGCTGCTAGCGCTCTCTCTCTCTTTCTCTCAGTCTCCCTCTCTTTCTCTCATATACACACAAGTGGGAGGTAAGTGCCCCAGTCTCCCCCCTTTTTTTTCCTGAGCGACTCTGGAGATCAGGCTCCTCTTCCCAACACTTCCCTTTCTATTATTACTCACTTAAAGGCACTGGGGCAACCCCCAAGGACTCCGGCAAGCAGCTCCGCCGCCGCCGCCAGCAGCGATAGCCGCCACAACCGGCAGGCTGGACTCTTCAGAGGAAGGCGCAGACCTTTTGACGTCTTTTGCCTCTTGCCTCAATTCCCGTTCACTTTCCGCCTCAACGCTCGCCTGTCCCCTGAAACTTTGGATGGGGGAACCCGAGAGAAGGTCAGCGGATGGTGGGTTGGGGGGTTCCGTGGTTTGTGTGTGTTGTGTGTGTGCGCGCGCGCCCGCCGGGATTGTGGGGTGGGGGGGGGGGGGGGGGGGGGAGGTGGGAGAGGCGGAGGAAAGAGGTGAGTTGTAATGCAATGCATTAGGAGGAAAGGCGGTGCGGGAGGGGGACGAGGGTAGGCCAGCCAGTGCCAGGCGGCGTTGGAAAAGCAGCACCTCTCTCACCACGCAGAGACAGGAGCAGCCGCGGCGGCAGCAACGGAGAGAGCGGAGGAAAAATAAAATAAAAGCTGGCGCCCCACCGGAGGAATGAAAACAACCTTCCCTTTCTCCTGGTGTGTGTGTGTCTTGACAGGGGCAGCAAGAAATGAAACTTAATTGTAAGAGTGGAGGCACGGAGCTGGCGGGGGCATGTTGGTGCGTTGATTTATTTGCGTTGCGTGGCTCGTGTTTTGTGTCAGAGTGGGCGGCGAGGGGGAAGAGAGAAGCGGGGTGCGGGGCGGAAAGCCATCTAGCGGGGCTCAGTTTAGATTTATGAGTTAGGAATCGGTATTTTCCGGTACAGAACCATATCTTGCAAGCACTTTCACTCCCTCCGTTCTCCCACACCAACAACAAAATGTGCAATTATTAGGCGATTTTTTAAAAAAGGGATAGTGCGAGCCGGGTAAAAGAATAAAAGAGATTGTTGGGGGGGGAGGATAGGACGTAGGAGGAGGGAGGCTGTGTCAGGATTTTGCATGAATGTGGGATTATGTTGTGTCAATAAGTTTAAGGTGGAGAGCGAGCGAGGCTGGGGGGGAGAAGAAGGCCTTGGCAGTTTAAAGTCCTATTTCTAAAGGTAAGTTGTACCACCAAACGGTCGCGATGACAGAAAACTTGCAGATTATTTGCCCAGGAAGAAGAATGTGTGTCTTGGAGGCGTCGTTGAGGTTTCAAGCAGCAGACGGGGTGGTAAACTGTTATTTGCTGCTGCGAGATCGGGTCGATGGTAAATTGCAGAAATCAGACTTGCACCCTGCTCTCTTCTTTCTCCCTCTTCTCGCCTTCCTCCCCGGTGCTTTATGTGAAACTTGCATAGCTGGATCGATCATTGGGGCTTTTTAAAAAACAAAACGAAACACAGTTGAGCAAAAGGGAGATGGAGACGGAGAACGTCTCCTTAATCCCGGGATCTAGAAAGCGGTAGGCTTGTGTTAGGGAATATCTCTGTAACAATCCGCTGCCGTTGAATGAGGAAGGTGAAATGAAACGGTGCAAAAAGAAACAGGCAACATGTACGACCGAGGGGAGTGTGTTATGTATGTTTGTGTGTGTAAGGGGGGGAGGGTTGGAGACAGAAACGCTACCGTCCTTTTTCTGTCGGGGGGGGGCAAAGGGGGGCGGGGAGTAAAGCAAATACCCGGGTTGCGGTCATTCGTGTCACGATCAGCGTTTGGTTGATTGGTTCATTTTTCATCTTCTGTTTCCCCTAAAAAAGTGCAAGGGGCAAATTAGCAACTACTTGCCGGTAGATGTCGGAAAGTTTGTCAGAGACATGCGGGGCGGGTGAGTATGGAAAGGAAAGAAGCAGGCTGCTTAGGACGATCACTTGGCCTGGGGTTTTGAAACCATTGCCTGTCCTACTCTTGACACGTTTAGATCCCTGATCTCATCCCATGCACTGATGAGATAGGGACAGTTTATTATCCATCTAGACGCTTACTTATGTTGGGGGGGGGTCTGTATGCGCGCACGTTTATGTCCCCTCCCCCTTTCCAGTCCGTTGGTCCCCAAACGTGTTAGAAGATGGAGCTACCACAGGATCCTGAGTTTCCATGTGGCTTCAGCAGCGGCACCTCTTTCTCCTCCCCGGTGGCAGCAGCCGCGGGATCATAGCTTGGGCCTGCGCGGGGGGGGGGGGGGGGGGAGGAGCAGGGAAGTAAGAGCAGCGGCAGAAGGGAGGTGTTTTCTGCCAGTGTGATTCACCAAATATCGCTGGGGAGCAAAGGGTGTGGAGGAGGAACATCGGGGCAGATCTGGCATCCCCCTCTCTGGGCACCCTGGCTGTCTCTTTGACTTCTCTCTTTTGCTTCAGGCTCTCCTGCAAGGTGTTGTGTAGACTTTTCCCCAAGGAAGGTTGAGATTTATATATTGCATGACTGCCTTTCATTAAATACCCCCACCCCAGCAAGATGGACTCTCTTTTCCTCACTTCTCTTTCCCTGTGTCTTGTCAGCCTCTAAGATCGACATTTTGTAACTAAGATGCAAACTTGATGGTGACCAGAAGGGAAAAAAAGAGAAAAGCCCTAGATTTCTTCTGCTGCTCTCCATATTTAATAATCTTCTCGGTCACCCTCAGACCCCGCTGGCCCTGCCTACACTCTCCATGGTGAGGTAGGTGGCTAGTTGGGTGGGGGTGGTTTGCAAGCAAAAGCTCTTTTCCTTTTCTGTCGGCTGGTGGGAGTCAAATCTTTGTTATTTTTTTCCTCTTTCTTTGGATTGTCTTGGTGAGAAAAGGGAACAGGGATTTTAATCAGGAAGTATGCTACAATGTTGCTGTTTCTCCTCTGTAGATTTCTTATCTACAGTTTGGATTCTTTACCAGATTTTTTTTTGGTAAATGATGGTGAAATAGTTTAAATATATAGACATCCTTGATTGAACAATTACATGTGCAAAACAAGGGGATTTCCTTCCTGCTTAGATTCTTATTTCAATGTGAGTTCAACTTTCTTGTATTTGCCATTTTGGATATATTAGATATAGTGGTCCAAGACAGAGTGAAGGAAAACAAAAATAAGTCATCCTTATGATTGCTTAGTCCCAGTGTCCTTTTATAAGCACGATGCTTCTTTTGTTAGTTATTTAGTGTTCTATTTTTTAGTTTCTCAAGACACACTTTGATTCACATTTTAATAATAATTTGATGTTGTGGAAGTTGAAAGGTGAAGCAAAAAGTTGTAAATTTGGGGTTCCATCAGCCTTACTGCAGTATTGATATTCCTTTATTTAATATTTTCTAGGTCACTATCACATGTCAAAGATTTGGAGACAGTTTAATTTTCCTGTCCTTGTAATTTTCATTTACCATTCCAGGTAAGTATGTAAACTGTATTTACAAATTACTGATAATAATAATAAGATAAAATCTGCTGTTTGGGGTCAGAGCTGCCTTATCACATTGTAGTTCTTCATAAAAATGTTTCCCATTAGCACTGTCAGCAAATGTAAAAATATACACTATATGTACAGTATGTGCGAGGTGTGTTAATACATAAATTAGATTTTGTTGAAAACTTGTTTTCAATAAATATTTTAAACATTTAGAATTTTTAAGACACAAACCTCCCTTCTCAAAGATTTTTTGTTTATAGTGATTAATATTTTGTAAGAAATGCCATAGATTATTAAAATATGCAAAAGAGCTATGCAATAAAGAGTTTCACAACTATAACTAGTTGCAATGATAATAATTTTAAAAAGTTATGTGTTAAAAATAAAATAGAGTAGACATGCCTTTTAGAACTGGGGAACAAGTTCATATGCTTTAAAAACTCAGATATTCTATACAACATTGATGCTTACTGAAATTTCTCTTATATTTTTTATATTAATTTTAATTAGTTATTTTTGTTGTATACATAAAAGTTGAGTATTTCTCTCATAGTACTAATAACTAAGTCCCTACTATGATATCTATAATGGATGGCATTCTTATAAATAGACTAATGTAATAACTTTGTTGTTATTTCATCACTCAATATTAGGATGTGTGTCTTTTTAGAATTTGGGGGGAAATTTCATCTCCAAGTCCATTTCCCCCCCTATAATTTAAATTTCCTAGTGTAAATAATTTTCCAGATTTAAAATATCTATATATCTATAAAGCCATCCATCTCACTGGTAGTGATTCTGGGAAGTATACAACAAACATATGGAAATAAAATATTAAAAAAACATTCATTACTAAAAAGTTTTTAAAAGTGTAATGCATACATTAGAATAATTAGATTAGCTAGTCACCTCAAAATACCCTGGTCCCCTGAGATGACTGAGTCAGGTTTTGAGGAACTTACTGGAAGTAAGTAGGGATGGAACTAAGGGGGCGGAGGAATGTTTCATAAGGAGGGCACCATGGCAAAGAAGTCATACTGCCTCAGGCCCATCAAGTGTAATTCCTAAACAGTGGGATCCATAGCACATAAGTTCTCCTGGATTTAAAGAGCAGGTGTAATTGAGGTGAGCAGTCACTCAGATAACCTGGCCAAATGGTCAAAAATAGCACCTTGAATTGGACTTAACCAATGCAGTTCATAGACCAGAGGTGTAACAGTTGGTATCCTAGAAGCCCACATAACTGAGCCACTGCATTTTGCACCAACTAAAGTTTCTGGATACTCTTTAAGGGCAACCCCATATAGAATACATTACAGTAATCCATATGGGAGGTGACTAGGGCATGACTGACTGATCAGAGCCTTCCAATTCATTAATAAGCGCCATTAATACATAACACAAACTTGTGGAAAGGCCATCCTAACCACGACTGCCACTAGCTTTTTGAGTTGCAAGTCCAGAAGGCTGCCAGATTGCACACTGGGTCTGTCTAGGGTGCCCAACCCCAGCACTAAAGAAGTTATAGTCCTATAATGTCAAGGTCCCAACCCCAAAGATTATCAGTCTTTCCAGGGTTAAGCTGAAACCCGTTTTTCCTCATGCACACCTTCATATCCATCAGGATAGGATATTTACTGCATTGCTCAATTTTCCACTAGTAGAAATAGTAATAATAATTATTAGTAATTATTGGAACGGCATCTATAGGAACAATAGTTGTATTTTAGGTCCTACAATTTTTTTAGTATTTCTTTATTTAACAGTATTTATAGCCTGTCCCAAACTTGAGAGACTCAGGATATAAAAATGGTTTGAACAATAAAAGTGAAAAGAAGTTGATAAAATTAAGGCATCATCAAAAGATCATCAATAAACTTGGTGGTTGTTTCTGAGACTTGATATTCTAAACTGAGGGCCAAACTCACACTGAATAAAATTGATTTGATCTGCTTACAAAATATAAACCAAGTTGCGCCTTTTAAAGTTCTCTGATAGATACTTCAATATGTGGGACTGCCCTGGGATGTCCTGTTACCTGATCCGTGCCCCATGGACTTTGTATAGAGGTGGGAATTATGGCAGACCCTCTCTTGATTTTTAAACCAGACTTGCAGACTTGATTCTGCATCATGTTGCTTGATATATTATTGATATGCCTCATTATGGACTATGTGTATTTGGCTCCATACCTAAATGTTTTTAAAAGTTCTTAGTAGTTCACTCTTACATGAATGAATGCTCATTTTTATTTTGCCATTTTAAATATGTAATGCTGTTTTGGGGGGTAATGAGTTGTTTCACTTTTTCTTTTTTCCCCTATTTTTTATTTTATTACAAAGTTAAAATACAAAATTCCAGAAGACATAAAAAAACCCCATAAAACACAAAGCGATCAGAAAATTAAAAAGGTGCATCAGAACAAACACAGCCATATTTTATACATAATATCCCCTTTAGTTGAGTACCAATTAATATATTACAACAACATCAGTTCCCATCCCGTGTGAAACAGGCCCACCCTAAATTTTTAAATCTATTAGCAACCTATTGACTTGTTTTCTATATGTTATAGTGACAAAGGGTTTAAGAAAAAACAATAATAGTAAAACACAACAAAATAAAAGTTTCAAAACTCTTTGTTAACAAACTCTTATTGTAAACTAGAATAGTACTTAGAAAATTTATTGTGAGTAGAAAATTTACCATAGCTCATTAACTTTACTGAATCATCCAAAAATCCAGTCTCCCTTTATCTGCATCCCTCTTCAAAAACTTATATCACATAATACGATGTGGTTTAATGATTATGTATTAGGAATATCTCATCTGTATCATATAAATGGTAAACAAAGAATTGGTTCAGATTCACTACTGCAATATTCTGGCATTAAAAAAATCCCTGTACCTCATAGCAGTAGTAAGATAATGGATGTTCAAATCCCTTAATATACAACTACATTAAAATTATATTCCTACTATGAAGTATGATGATGTAGGAAGACAAATTGTCTTCTTTCAAGTTGTATTATTGCAGAGTTTTAAGAAAATGATGAATACAGAAAGCTCTACTGTAAGTAAATAATATTTATCGTCCTGACCACCATTGTACATACATGCATACAAACGCACATACACCCATATCTTAATTTATTATGCATTATAAATATGCAATTGTATCAAAGCCTTACAAGTATAAAACCTATTTAAACAAACTATCATAGGTTAGTTTTAGAGGCAGCTTAGGGTTTAGTAAAAAATGTAATTTTTAAAGACAGTACTGAAGTAATTTATTGTAAATTTGTACACTGATTTGTAAATGTCCAGAAACTTAAATATATATGAGTTCTTGACTTACAACCATTAATTCAGTGATTGTTTGAAGTTACAATGGCACTGAAAAAAGTGACATGACCATTTTTCACACTTACCATTGCAGCATCCCATGGTCACATGATCAAAATTCAGACACCTGGAAACATGCATATTTATAACAGTTACAATGTTCCAGGTTCATGTGATCACCTTTTGTGACTTTCTGATAAGCAAAGTCAATGGGGAAACCTGATTCACTTAACAACTGTTTTACTAACTTAATAACTGCAGTGATTCACTTAACAACTATGTCAAGAAAGGTTATAAAATGGTTAAAATTCACTTTATAACTGTCCCACTTAGCAACAGAAATTTCAGTCTCAACTATGGTCATAAATCGAGACCTTCCTATATATCAACACATTTTTGAGTACATGTTTTCAAGTCAAGATGTTGAATTGTTATTAGTAGCATTAGTAAATATAGATTTAGGTAAAAATTATTTGTTTATTCATTTACATCTCATCTTTATTTTACAAATAACTCAAGGTAACATATATATCCAATATACCTTCCTCCTCCCATTTTCCCCACAACAACAATCCTGTGAGGTGAGTTAATAGCAGAACAATCAGCTAAATTCCAGTATTGACTTTATCTTTACATCTTTTATATTAAGTTTGAGTTGAATAAATAAGATTCGGTTTTCAATTAACCATGTGGAAAGCATGGTTAAGTTTGAATCAAATTCAAAGCTATATGAGAGTACAGTTAATGAATGCAGATTAACTTTATTCTACATATGTTTATTTGGCTGAATACAATAAATATCCTTAGGATATTTAAATAAAATCCAGATAAATGCTAATGTTTGTAAATAAATAACTACATTTGATAATTGTGTAACTACTTTACAACAGAGCTGCTTTTTGAGGGAGCTTTTTGATCTTGGCTATTGCTGACTAGTGGAGATTGTTTTTGCACATTTGCAACTAGTGTACAATACCTCCTACTATTTTTCCTGAGCCAGTAAGTTGGTAAAGGTATCTGTGGTTTAATTAAACCCTGTCTTAATTACTGCAGGAAACAATCCTTGAAAAGGTTCTACAAGTAGTAATTAGTTGAAAAAGTTTCCGGAGGCCAGAATGTTAATTATCAAGTTGGTTTTAAAACTTTTTGTTTGTTTGCTACATTGTGGGTTCATTTGAGCCAAAATGGATTATAAATGGAATAAATTAATAATGTCAATAGAGTTATAGTTTTGAAGCACTTCAGATGTTACGGTCACATGGCACAAATGATGCTCCTAGATTAGTTCAGTGCAACTTTCATCAGGTATAACTGACAAAGACCAGCATCTTCAGTAGGGTATTAAGAATTATATTTTATTATATCTGGAGGATGTTGAATTAGAAAGGCTGTGAATGCATAACTAGTATTTGTCTGAATATTATAATCCATCATAGTTCAGAGAGAAAGTGTCTGTACTAATCACAGATCTGTCAACCATATTTAAAAGTAGGGACCATTCTGTAAAACTACTCTGATACTCCTTAACAAATTAATACAAAAACTCTGAAAGATCTTTTTTTAACAGAATGTGATTCATGTCATTTTACTTAACGAGAATTGTTTTTTAAGTCTGAATGTTCGTGACCAGGAGATTC